AGTGATGATATAAATATTAGTAATCATAGTTAATGTGTGTTGAGTTTACCGTGTGTCAGGCTAAGTGACTGACTTTAATCCTTGGAACAACTCTGTAAGGTGAGCTCTGTTATTATTCCTATTTTTGAGGTGTGGAAAAAATGCAGCTTGGGGAGGGTAAGTAACTTGCTCAATATTACACAGAGGTGAAGTCAGAAATGAGGTGAAGTTTACCAGTGGCTCGGTCCAAGTGTCTTCACTCTACCGTCTTACTATATCCCCTTCCTTTTAGGACAGTGGTTCTCAGAGTAAAGTCCCCAAGACACTCTCCCAGGGTCCTTGAGGCCAAAACTATTTCAGTCATAACTCTAACAGATTATTAGCCATTTTGACTGTGTGGACATTTGCAGCGATAACGAAAAAGTAATGGTGGGTGAAGTTGCTGTAATCTTATTACAAATCAAGGCAGCGATACCAAACTGTACCGTAGTAATCGTATTCTTCACTGCCGTGCACTTACAGTGAAAAACAAGGCAGGCATCAACAACAGCAAAAATCTTACTCAGTCTTAAAACTTCGATGCGCATCTTTAATTAGCCAGTTTGAGCAAATAATCTCAGAGCCGTGAAAGAGGAATTGTGTATGCTGAATATGTGTGGATCACTAATACTAGAAGAATACAAAGAATGAAAATAAGTCGAAATAAAATTACATATAGTTTATAATCCCTCAATTTCATTAAAGATTACATGTGTGTATACATATATATGTATATATAATTGGAAGTGAATGTACAAGATCTTAATAGGGATTGCCTCTGGGTAGTGGAATGTGGATGATTTTAGTTTTCTTTGCAATTGATTGTATTTTCTACATTTCGTAAAGTAGAAAGTTCCTTGGATTGTAAAAAAAAAATCCAAGTTTCCAGCCATCTCTTGATTCATTTTTTATTAAACTTGCTTACGCATATGTACTAACATATAGCTAATTATTTTTACACTTATTATTTTAAAAAAGAAAAAATGATGGACACTCAAGGGAGTTCTCCACAACTGAGTTCCTCTGTGCAGGGCACTGCCCAGGTGCAGTGCAAATCATTAAACATGCGGGGGCAGCTGGGAAGGGGGGAGGTTCTTTTAAAATGCAACTGCCATCTGGGTTAGCACCTGCCCAGCCTTACAGTGAGAGGCAGCAGATAGAAACACAAAGGCAATCCCTCGGGAAAACGTGCCGGGCAGGGAACAGAGCTGAGAAGTCCTTTATGAACCCCCTTCTTCCTTCTCAGCCACTTTAAAACATTTGACTGAAAACCCCTCTGAACTGATGTTGACAAGCAAAAAATGTTTGCCAGTTCCTGAATGTCAGCGGGCCTCTGGCTTTATGCTATAAAAAATTCTACATTCACGGCAAACTGTAGATGTCTGTTTCCTTCTGACAGCTGTCTTGTCCAGATATTGTTGTCCTCTCTCTTTATCTTACTTTAACCTGAGTGACGAAGGATGACTCTTTTATCCTCGTCTATTGGTGAAATATCAAAAGGGAAACTGAATACCCTGCTACTGGCTTCCTCTTGCTCTAATGTTCCCTGGCGGTCTGGCTCCGTGTCACAGGGGAGGTAAGTAGGTGACTGAGCGGTGAGGCAGGTAGTGACTACCTTCCCTCTGCAGGCACCTAGATGTTTCGTATTGGGAAGTACAGTCCATGTTTCTGCAACCACCTGCTCTAATGTGATGGGCAAGAATTACAGATGCACGCTGCTCCCTCTGAGATTAGATTCATTTCCCTGATTATTTGGCCAAAGACTTCAAAACTTCACAGAAATCAGTGGCTGCATAGCAAGAAGCAGAGAAAGACAAATGTCATATGGTATCACTTATCTGTGGAACCTACAAAAAAAATACAAGTGAACTTATCTATAAAACCAGAAATAGACTCATAGACGTAGAAAACAAACTATAGTTACCAAAGGGGAAAGGGGTTGGGGGGGAAGGATAAATTAGGAGTTTGAGGTTAACATATACACACTACTATATATAAAATAAACAACAAGGACCTGCTGTAGAGCACAGAGAACTATATTCAATATCTTGTAATAACCTATAATGGAAAAGAATCTGAAAAAGAATGTATACATATGTATAACTGAATCACTTTGCTGTACACCTGAAACTAACACAACATTGTAAATCAACTATACTGCAATTAAAAAAATTTTTTTAAAGTTTAAACAGTTAATAGCGAAAAAGGAAACGGTTTAAGAAATTTGCATCAGTAATTCAATGAGCAATTTGTAAAGGGTGCCCCTCTTCCTACAGATGAAAACGTAGACATAGAAACACATATAAATATATAAGCCACATTTATGCATCAGTTTCATTCATTTTGTTCCTAGTTATTCACTCGAAAAGGACTGCTTAAATCCTGAAGACGTGACACTAAATTTTAACTTCAAGTCACACATTAGTCAGACTAGAATTTGGTAGCTGACACAGACTTTAAATAAGAATTTTAAGAGAGAAAGGTATCATTGGCTCTTTGCAATCAGTGTTCATGTAAGAATTTTCCTTTGCAAGCGTCCATTGGGCTGCAGGGAGAGTAGAGGGCAGGATTGATGCCTTTAATTCAGAGGTGGCCACCCTCAGGCTCAAGAGTAGAGAATTGTGGATAATCAGTTCTGAGTATTGTCAAGAGGTCACAGGGGACAGAAGCCGAGAGGGGTAGGGATGGAGGTGCCTGCTAGACAGCTGTTTCTGATCACTGCCTGTGGGATGCAGGCTGAGATGGGGGCCACTTGCTGGTAGGGGACAAACAGCAAGAACAACTGGCTCATAACAGGACGTCAGTGCCCCTCTTATTGCAGTTATAGGTCCCGGTTAAGGTGCGCATCCTGAGCTTCCCTGTGGGTGCTTTCACCCAGTGCCTCTGTCTGAGCATTTCTCTCATCTGCCTCCTAGTCCACTGGGGGCTGGGATGGCCCAGGTCAAAAACGGAAGTGCAAAACATCCTTCCCAAAATTTTCAGGCAAGGGAGCATCAACCAGCAGAACGATCCTAAGAGATGCCCAGGCCAGCCAATACCAAGGGTTTTCTTGAGTGACTTTACATTACCAGGTGTAGCTAGAGGTACATTTATCTAAGTGTGCAAACTTTATTTTATATATATATATATATATATATATTTTATGAGAGAGAGAGAAAGAAAACAAACTATGGTTACCAAAGGGGAAGGGGCAGGGAGGAATAAATTAGGAGTTTGGAATTAGCAGGTACACATTACTATACATAAAATAAATAAACAACAAGGACCTGCTGTATACACAGGGAACTATATTCAACTTCTTGTAATGATATATAACGGCAAATAACCTGAGAAATATATAGGTGTAACTGAATCACTTTGCTGTACACCTGACACTAACATTGTAAATCAACTACACTTCAATCAAAAATAAAATTAAAATATTTATAAGATTATGTAAGATTTCCATTTATTTCCTAGTGCTCTGGCTTGGAGAGCTGCATTCATGAAGGAAGCCTAGTATTTTTAATATATCACTTATTCCCTGATGCATCAATCTAATTTACCCGAACCCCAGTTTAAAAAAAAATAGTAGCATGTACTTTAAGGAAACAAAAAAAATCTAAAAGTACTATTATTGTAATAATACATTTAATTCAAAGAATGCCACATACATGCATGTAGCCAGAATCTAAGTCGAGTGAGAGGCTGTTGGGTTCTAATGTGACAGAACAAGGTGTTAATTGTTCTAAACTTTTAATGAAAATTTCTTTCTCTCCTATTAAGTAAACCTCATGCAATCATGAATACATCTGAGAACTTGGACTAGAGGCAGAGGAAGTTATTGTACGGGATTTTCTCTACAAACCTAAAAGCACAGGATGCTGGAAGCCATGAACGCTGAAATATTTATTCCCATTGTTGTAGAGAACCTGGGCCAAGGAAAACAGTGGGAGAGGAAGTGCAGGGTGGCCCTGGGGACAGAGGCCACCTGCCACCGGCCAGGGTGCAGAGCACGGCTCCTCTGTCCCTTGCTTTTCCAGCCCCACCACCATCAGACACCTTCTCTGCTTTATTCGTTGGGGTCCTCTTTCTTCCCACTCTTCCTTCATCTTAATGTGGGATTTCCTGAGCTTCAAACTTCTGCTGCTTCAAGCCATCTGGCACGTGGGTAGTAACATCCAACCTGTGTTTTGGTGAGAAGAAAAGGGGAAGCAGAAGGGGAAGAAAGAAAGGTGGGAGAGACTAGCTGATGGGAGATGCTGGGGAGAGAGGTGCTTCCGCACTTCGGGACAGGGACTCAGACACATTGCAGCGTGCAACCTGGCGTCTCTCTTTCCGTTCTCCTCTGTGAGTTTTCTCAGAAGGCGAAAGACTGCAACATCCTCCCACTTTGTTAGGAAGCACCAGCAGACAATATTCTGGACTAGTTACTATTTATGTTATTATGATGCACGCGATAAATTTTATGGATCATTAAATGATGTCAGGTCGCCTCTGCGGCAGTCCGCTCCTGCTGGATGTCTACCCTTAGAAGGAGGGCTGGTCTGAAGGCTCTGACCTCAACTCCAGTTTCCTTGTCTTTGGTATAGTTACGGTGACACAATATTCTAGATAATTACCAATTTGGAAAACACAGAAGATTCTCTGTTTTCCCATTTCCGGGTTTCTAATCAACCAAAAATGAAAGGCTATGTTAGGAGCCCAAGGTTCAAGGCTGCTCTTTGTTGCCAACCAGCTTCTCAATCTTGGCAGCCACTCTACTCCCCCGGGCCTCCCCGTCCTCATCTGTGAAGCTTCTGGCACAAACGTCCATTTTTCTAAATATTTCCTATAGTAAATGAAAAACCGAAGTTCTGAGTTGAGGGTTACAAATCTTTCTCAGTGGATGAGGGAACTTGAAAAACGCCGTGGGTTCCAGATCAGCCCATTCTGTTTCTGTAATCAGCTTGTAAGTGTGAGTTGCTTTGCTAAGTAAAAGTGTGTTTTCTCATTACAGATACGTGAGATTTACCAGCTCCTGGATGAAGTGCTTGGGAAGCCTTTAAATGCCACAGGCAACCACCGTTTCAAAGGAGAGAAAACAGATGGTTTTGGAAAGTTCATGCTGTTCCTTCATTGAATTTTAGGTGAGTGTGTCTGAGACAAGGAACTTAAGGTGGACATTGAACTATTTCCCCTGAAAGTGTGTCTCTTCTTTGCATGAAAAGAAAATGGGGTTACCTGTTATCAGCATTTTATGCTTTTAAGTGAGGTGCCACTCAGTGAAGGCTCTGTTGATGGGCCTTTTGTTTATTTTTGTTATTATCAGAAACCATCTAGATCTAGAGACAGCCTTGCCATCTCTTCCTGATTTCCATTAAGCAAATGTTTGCTTAATGGAAACATCAAAACAATAAAAGCAGTAATGTTTCATTCTGTCCTAAAGGTCATCTAATTTTTAAAATATATAAAAGTACTTAATAGCGGAGCAATAAGTCATAATGAGACAAAACCATGTTTTAATGACATAAATGAGAGACAAATTTGATCGTGGTGATGACAGTTTAATCATTACAAGTCGGAGTGTGAGATAAGGCCGACGTTTCAGAGGCTGCCCTGCCCTGTGGGGAGGTTGTACATTGCTTAAATTAACACAGGGCATGGTTTAGGTTAGGTATGGTTTTCAGACTGCTGTTTGTATGATTAAACACACACACATGCTCACACGTCGAGCCTGGTTTTGCCTGGCCATGGAATGGACGGATTAATTTTTCTTTCATCACCATACGTAATTCCATGCTACAAAAGACATGAGTGTACAAATGGATGCTTTACTCTTAGTCTGCAGTATGTCGTTGTCACTTCTCAGCAAATCGGAGAGAAACAGAGGAACGGAGCGGTTGTCTTATGGTGGAAATTGTGTGGCTTTCCACCCCGCCAGCTGAGTCCTGTTCTCTAAGTGTGGTTTGATTACCCACTTGGAATAGTGTTTTCCAGAAAATCAGACTGTACCTGTGTTCACAATTCTGAATAAAACAAAGCAGCTGACGGAGCATCGACCACTGGCTGGATCTTATCTAAAAAGTCAGTGATGCTCCCTTTATAATCTTCATTAGCTTCAAAGTGAAAGTGGATCGTTGTGTCATAATCTTAAGGAGGGGGGTAAATTTGGTTTATCGAGGTCAGATGTGGAACCAAAATGGTGATTTCATTTATTTACAAGATGTTGTTGAACGCAGTTCCCAGGAGCTAAACTTAATGCCCTTTGAAAATATCAGTAAATCAATTTGCCTGGTGTAACACTACTCTGGAGGAGAAAATGAAAGTGGAAAATGTGTTTACTTGACTTACTTAACTCCCTCCTTTCCGATTGTGCTGGTCTGTGCCTGTTTTTGACTTCGCATCCATTCCTTGCCCTGCCACTGTTCTGCTGGCTCCTTGGGGGCTGTCCCCTATGGGCTAGGTTTGCCCTCTTGTTGCCTCTGGCTTCCCCCAGTGACCTTGAACTCTGAGCTCCATTAATATCACCGCTTCCTTCTGTCCCTTGGGACTTGTGGGTGGTCGTGTGTCTGCCTTCCTGCTGCTGTTACATCTCCAGGTTGATTAACTGGCTTCAGTTTAGCTTCTCAGTCCTTCCATCATCCGTGTAACCATTTTCCTGGATTAAATTCCATCTGTTTTACATGTTTACCGTTTTCCCTTGGTTAGTTCCTAACTGAGCCATCAGTGCTCCACTAGTTTCTCCCAAAATTATTGGAAGAAGAGTGAACAAGGATTACTTGCTTCTCCGAAGAGAAAAATAAATGATTCTCAGGAAAGAAGATTTTAAGTTAAATGTAAAGCTGGATATTTTCACACTGAACAGCCATCTAGCCTGGCGTGTTTAAAGCCATCTTCCAAATCCCACAATGTTGTGGCATTAATTTGTTGCTGTTAACAAAATCATTGTTGAGATTCCCATTGTGTGTATCAAATTAATGGGACATTTTTTTAAATTCTCAGATAGGCACCGAATATGATCTTTACTTTTTTTTTAATATTCACATTTCACAAACTTCTGTCTGTGCAACATAAGAACTTCTCAGGGCATCAGTCTTATTTCTGCCTTCACATTTAAATCTCGAGCTTTGGATTTATTTTATGATGGCTCTGACATCTCTCTTCCAGTAATGGTTCTTTGCTACTAGAAGATGCCTTATGGTCTGAACATTTTCCATTTCCCATAATAAACAGTGAATATACTGGAAAGCACGGTGATGAGGATGCCAGTGTCTGTCCTTTGTGACAGGTAAACAATTCGCCACTGTCCCAGCAACCCCACTCGCTCTAAAGGGCTTCCTGGGTATGCAAGAAGCTTTTTAACGTCATTATTTTGGCACTTCACTTGGTTATTTTAAATGCAAGTGCCTCGCTATTTTCATTTCCTTCCCATTTCTTCACGTAGACACATTCCTTTCCAGGCTTTTCTCAGAGGTCGTCATGACTGCCCATCTGTCTATTCTAACGTATTGCACGTACACCTAGAAGGACATGGCATCCCTCTGACCAACAATTTCCATCTATTCTACCAATGTCAGTGTTTCACCTGCAATGCCTAATTGAGAATCCTTTCAGACAATGTGACAATACCATCAGGAGCAAAATTACTTGGACCCCTCCATAACCTAAAATTGGGAGACACAGGGGCGAGCAGCTTTATGGCGCAGTTGAAAATGCAGTAGTGTGTAATGGGGGTTCTCAGGTCTTCCTTTGTTTGGTATGGCATTGACCACTCTAGTCATTAATGATTCTCTCTAGCTTTTGGAAATGAGGCTTTATAAAGTCATATTTTAAAAAAAATACTCTTGGGAAGAGGAATACATCCTTTAATAATATATACTACATCACACAGAAGTCTGATGAATTAGCAAGGAAGAGACTCCTGCGGCAGCGGTGCAGACACTCAGCTTCGGAGAGTCTGGTACCCATAAGCAGGTGGAGACAATGAAATCATCTCGCTAACTTCACAGTACTGCCTGCGGGCGGAGGGGACCACCTGTCCTAAAAGATAACTCGGGCTGAACATATTTTAATGTCACATTGGAAGAGGGGGTCGGAGGAATGGAAACGTTAGTTGTTACACTAATGAGTGACGTTATGGATAGAGATTTGAAATCACTGGTGCCCAAAGAATCGAGGAAGGTGCGTTAACCAAGAAGTAGTCTTACTACTTCTGTTGAACCACCAAGTATGATGTTGGGAAAATCAAATGTGTTTAAAAGGCAGAAATCATCTGTTATCCATCTTTACATCCCTGGAAACAAGCATCGTGCTTGGCATGCTGTAGATAACTTCTGAATAAATTGCTGAATTTACTTAGAAATTATCTACAGTGAATAAGAACAAAGGCACAAAGCGATGCGGCTTGAGTTCCTGCCTTAAACTGAACACCGTTTTGAATGCAGGTAAACTTCCTTTCAATGCCTAAACAGTCCTCTGGCATAAGTAATATTATTATCTCCTTTTTTTAAGATGAGGAAAGTAGGGCCCAGAAAGGATAAATAACCTGCCTGAGGTTAACTAAGTTGGGGTGAAAATTCAAAGCCAGACAGTCTGACTTAGAGTTCAACCCTTAATTTTTATGCTTCCCCGTCTCTCCTGTAATGCAGTCATCAAGTAACTATAAAACACAGAAGCAACACTGTTTTATTACTTTAAAATTTGTGTCTTTCTAGAATACACTTGTATTATGAAGTCTTGCTCAAATCTTGAACAACCTCACTCTGAACACAAATTCCCTCTTTTCAGTGTTTCTACTCTCCTTTCCTTTTAAAACATGACTGCCTAAATCAGCTGCCTAATTGACATTCAGATCTCATCAGTCCCATTCTTTAATGGTTTGTCCTGAAATTAATGTTTTAAAAACTCTATTGCTATTTTATGCCATTTGCTTAATTGAAGAATCTATAATCTTGAGCAGCAAGTTCCTTAAGCTCCCTGAGCCTCAGATTCCCCACCTGAAAAGATATGTCTAATTTAATGAGAAAATAATATTCGAAAAACCAGCAAGTACAGTTCCTGGTACCTCGTAAGTAGCCAACAGTAGCCAATGTGAGCTAATTAGCCTTGCCCACGTTGATCAGGAAGCCAGTGTTGGCAGTCCCGCCAACTGCAGGACAAAGCCTGCCTCCTGTATCCCTTAGCATGTCATCACAGAGGCACACAGACCCCCTGAGTCTTGGCATCTCCCTTTGCTCCTCAGCAGTCGACCTTTGCTAACACGGGAATGATCCGCCTCCTCGGAGCCGTGCCCTTTGTGCCTTGCCTTTTGCTCCTGCTGCTCTCCTGCCTAAACACTGCTCCTCGCATCCACACCCCTCTCCAAAGCCCGCTCCGCCGCGAGCACGCGTGCACTCCTCAGAGACTTGGAATAGCCTAGTCATCTTTCAGGATTCGTCGCTGCTGCTGCTGTTCTGGGTTCGGTGAGGTCACTGATAAACTCCTCCTCCTCCTCCTCCTCCAGCAGGTGTCAGCCCCGTCTCTGAACTCGCATAGCCCTTTGCACCTTTTCCAGGAGATCGGCTCCTGCTGTAGACAGCAGAAAGAGAAGCCGTCTTGTGCAGTCGCTCACAGTCTCACGTTGTAATTCCTCCTGGTGTCTGTCCATCTTCCTTCTGAAATTTTCATCCAGGACAAGTGCCAAGGTTTTGCTTTGATTTGGTTTGGTTCCGCTTTGTCTAATCTGTGAATCTTCTTTACCAAGTGCAGTGTAGTCCTTTTCGGTTTTGAATGAAGTATGAGGGGGTCATATTTTGAGATAGGTTTGAGCATTGTAATGTGGTGAAGATTATAACGCTTCATCCAGCCATTACAAGCAGAAGGAGCGTTCCATCGGGGAAGGGGGACCTCACAGAGCGGATCTGTTCCGTTTTGTGCCAAGCACCAAAGCAGATGCTCCATGAACATTACCTTATTTAATTTTCATAATAACTCCTCAAATTAGCTATTATTTCCCTCTTTATTTAGAAGAAAACTAGAGTTTAGGTAAGTTGCCAATGTCATATTTCTAGTAAGAGGCACAACAAGAATGTTAAGTCATATTTTTCTACTCCAGCAAACTACCCCTCTAAAAGAGCTTTCCAACTTAATCCTGTAAGAAGAATATGTA